GTGGAACAACTTACCCCCACCAATCCGAGCAAAGACTACGCTCTCTTCCTTTAAATCATCTCTTAAAAATATCTGTTGTCTAGGTATTAATATTTTTTTAACACTTGCTTTATACTTTTTTACAGTACCAGTACTGTACAACAGACACTACCAGTACTGTACAACAGACACTACCAATACTGTACAACGGACACTACCAGTATTGAACAACAGACACTACCAGTACTGTACAAGACACTACCAGTACTGTACAACAGACAGTAACATGTAAAGTACTTAGTATAGGAGATGGAAACTGGGAAACCAGATATCAGATGAATAACGATGTTATTGAGAAATCCGACTGCGAGAGAGATTTAGGAGTAATGATAAGTAGGAATCTTAAACCAAATAAACAATGTGTTTTTGCTCGAACACGGCTAATAAAGTACTTGGGTTCATACAAAGGAGAGTTAGTTACAAGACTAGCGAGGTCATCTTAAGACTATATCTTGCGCTTGTGAGACCTCACTTGGACTACGCAGTTCAATTCTGGTCACTGTATTACGGAATGGATATAGAATCCTTGGAAAGAATTCAGAGGAGACTGACAAGACTAATCCCGGGCATTAGGAACCTTGAGTACAGAGACAGGTTAAAGCTTCTACTACATATACTCATGGCTAGTGGCATTACTATATATACTCATGGCTAGTGGTACTACTACATATACTCAGGGCTAGTGGCATTACTATATATACTCATGGCTAGTGGTACTACTACATATACTCATGGCTAGTGGCATTACTATATATACTCATGGCTAGTGGCATTACTATTTATACTCAGGGCTAGTGGCACTACTACACATACTCATGGCTGGTGGCACTACTACATATACTCATGGCTAGTGGCACTACTATATAATATACTCAGGGCTAGTGGCACTACTACATATACTCAGGGCTAGTGGTACTACTACATATACTCAGGGCTAGTGGCACTACTACACATACTCATGGCTGGTGACACTACTACATATACTCATGGCTAGTGGCACTACTATATAATATACTCAGGGCTAGTGGCACTACTACATATACTCAGGGCTAACGGCACTACTAAATTTTTTTCAAGAGTAGTGGCTCTACTGTATATACTCAGGGCTACTGGCGCTATTACATATACTGAGGGCTAGTGGCACTACTACATTTATTCAAGGATAGTGGCACTAATGTATACACTCGGGGCTAGTATAGCGCTACTACATATACTTAAGGCTAGTGGCACTATTACATATACTTAGAGCTAGTGGCACTACTAATATATTCTCAGGGCTAGTTGTATCTGCTACATACCTGTATACTCAGGGCTAGTAGTACTACTACATATACATAGAGCTAGTGGCACTAGTACATATAATTAGAGCTAGTGGCACTACTACATATACTTAGGGCGAGGCACTGCGACATATACTCATGGCTAGTGGTACTACTACATATACTTAGAGCTAGTGGCACTACTACATATACTTAGGGCTAGTGGCACTACTACATATACTCAGGGCTAGTGGCACGACTGCATATACTTAGAGCTAGTGGTACTACTACATACCTGTATGCTCAGGGCTAGTGACACTACTACATATACTTAGAGTTAGTGGCACTACTACATATACTCAGGGCTATTGGTACTACTACATATACTTAGAGCTAGTTGCACTACTACATTTCTCAGGGCTAGTGGCACTACTGCATATACTTAAAGCTAGTGGCACTACTACATATACTTAGAGCTAGTGGCACTACTACATTTACTCAGGGCTAGTGGTACTACTACATATACTCAGGGCTAGTGGTACTACTACATATACTCAGGGCTAGTGTTACTACTACATATACTTAGAGCTAGTTGCATTACTACATATACTCATTGCTAGTGGCACTACTACATATACTCAGGGCTAGTGACACTACTACATATACTCAGGGCTAGTGACACTATTACATATACTCAGGGCTAGTGACACTACTACATATACTCAGGGCTAGTGACACTACTTCATATACTCAGGGCTAGTGGTACTACACATATACTTAGAGCTAGTTGCACTACTACATAAACTCAGGGCTAGTGGTACTACTACATACTCAGGCTAGTGACACTACTATATAATATACTTAGGGCTAGTGACACTACTACATATACTAGTGACACTACTACATATACTCAGAGCTAGTGGCACTACTACATATACTCAGGGCTAGTGGCACTACTATATAATATACTTAGGGCTAGTGACACTACTACATATACAGTGGCACTACTACATATACTCAGGGCTAGTGGCACTACTACATATACTCTGGGCTGGTGACACTACTACATATACTCAGGCTAGTACATATACTCAGGGCTAGTGGTATTACTACATTTACTTTAGAGCTAGTTGCACTACTACATATACTCAGGGCTAGTGGCACTACTACATATACTCAGGGACAACTACTACATATACAGGGCTACACACTACTACACATACTCAGGGCTAGTGGTAGTACTACATATACTTAGAGCTAGTTGCACTACTACATATACTCAGGGCTAGTGGTACTACTACATATCAGGGCTAGTGACACTACTACATATACTCAGGGCTAGTCACACTACTACATATACTCAGGGCTAGTGGCACTACTACATATACTCAGGGCTGGTGACAACTACTACATATACTCAGGGATATTGACACTACTACACATACTCAGGGCTAGTGGTAGTACTACATATACTTAGAGCTAGTTGCACTACTACATATACTCAGGGCTAGTGGTACTACTACATATACTCAGGGCTAGTGGTACTACTACATATACTCAGGGCTAGTGACACTACTACATATACTCAGGGCTAGTCACACTACTACATATACTCAGGGCTAGTGGCACTACTACATATACTCAGGGCTAGTGACACTACTACATATACTCAGGGCTAGTGACACTACTACATATACTCAGGGCTAGTGACACTACTACATATACTCAGGGCTAGTGACACTACTACATACACTCAGGGCTAGTGACACTACTACATATACTCAGGGCTAGTGACACTACTACATACACTCAGGGCTAGTGGTACTGCTACATACCTGTATACTCAGGGCTACTGTTATTACTACATATACTTAGAGCTAGTGGCACTACTACATATACTTAAGGCTAGAGGTACTACTACATATATTTGGGGCTAGTGGCACTATATGGCCCCGTCATAGTAACCAACATCCAGATATGCCTCAGGCTCAACGGGGTAGAAAACTTTGTGAAATTATGAACGAGAAAATATTAGTGAGTAATCACCCCATTTGAATTAAACAATTAAGTGACAACGCATGGTTGTAATTAAAAACACATATTTTGGTCTGTTTGCGTGGAAACTTATTTTTTTTTCCCTGAAGTGATATAGTTCAATTTAGTGCCAAGAGCCATCAACTAAGAAGATGTCATTGTTATTTACATGAATATCTCAGTAGCTGTGTTGGAGATGAAGGAAGGAAAAATACACTTTATAAACACAATTTATTTACAAACTTTGCTGAGTGACAGCACATACGCCCTTCTTCCCTGCAACCTGAGACTCAGACATCAATAAAGGTGACGTCATCATGAGAAGAAAATTAATGCCATGTATGACATCACCAACAAACATCAGTTCAGTACGTCTAATGTCCTCACTACAAAAAATATTAATGATACCCCTCACGTCATTAACACCATTACAGAACGTGTGACGTCTTCAACATAAACATCAGTGTAATACTTTTTGACATTATCCTCAAGTCGGTGCACGTGACGTCACCAGTCACAAACATTTATTCTGTACTTGCAACATCGTGAACACAAACATCAACTTGCGACAATGACGTCAACAACACACACATTAAGATGTGGTTCAGACGTGTATGATGTAATAGTGTCCACTTTACCTGTGAGGGTAAGTCTCGTAGACTACCATCTATGATAACTATGTTTCATATCCTGGTATTTTAGCACCATAATCGTTTATACATATATTATGTAATACCAAATAATTAGAATAATTGTTTTATAAACATGAAATATAAAAACCTCTGAAAAACAGAACTTACATTTCCGGCTCTACGGATAAAGCTAAAAAAAAATTATTATCTTCCAGTGTTAATAAAACTCAGCTTAATAACCTGGAATTTGTAATGCAATAATACTGATCACCTAATAATGTAAATTTTGGTATGTTGGGTCGGAGATGCTGACACTGTAGGCACTGTAGGCACTTGTGGTACTGTACATAACGTGGTAACCACCTCTCCCGGAAGACATATTCTCCTGATGCTTCGATTTTCACTACCTGTAACTGCCGTCACTACCTCATACAAGCACCACTACACAAGGGAACACCATACGTGATGTGCGCGTAAATATTCTTCCTTGTCCTAGCAACACGGCTCACTTTACCATCTTACTTCATACTCCGCCTCTGTAACTCATCTTTATACTATAACTTCCCACTGTAACTTCACTGTAACTCATTTTTGTATTGTAAATTTTCTTGATACTGTAACTCTTCTTGATACTGTAACTCTTCTTGATACTGTAACTCTTCTTGATACAGTAACTCTTCTTGATACTGTAACTCTTCTTGATACTGTAACTCTTCTTGATACTGTAACTCTTCTTGATACTGTAACTCTTCTTGATTCTGTAACTCTTCTTGATACTGTAACTCTTCTTGATTCTGTAACTCTTCTTGATACTGTAACTCTTCTTGATACTGTAACTCTTCTTGATACTGTAACTCTTCTTGATACTGTAACTCTTCTTGATTCTGTAACTCTTCTTGATACTGTAACTCTTCTTGATACTGTAACTCTTCTTGATACTGTAATTCTTCTTGATTCTGTAACTCTTCTTGATACTGTAACTCTTCTTGATACTGTAACTCTTCTTGATACTGTAACTCTTCTTGATACTGTAACTCTTCTTGATTCTGTAACTCTTCTTGATACTGTAACTCTTCTTGATACTGTAACTCTTCTTGATACTGTAATTCTTCTTGATTCTGTAACTCTTCTTGATACTGTAACTCTTCTTGATTCTGTAACTCTTCTTGATACTGTAACTCTTCTTGATGCTGTAACTCTTCTTGAGAATGTAACTCTTCTTAAGACTGTAACTTCTTGATACTGCAACTCTTCTTGATACTGTAACTCTTCTTAATACTGTAACTCTTCTTGATACTGTAACTCTTCTTGATACTGTAACTCTTCTTGATACTATAACTCTTCTTGATACTGTAACTCTTCTTGATTCTGCAACTCTTCTTGATTCTGTAACTCTTCTTGATTGTATAACTCTTCTTGATACTGTAACTCTTCTTGATACTGTAACTCTTCTTGTTACTGTAACTCTTTTTGAGACTGTAACTCTTCTTGATGCTGTAACTCTTCTTGATACTGTAACTCTTTTTGATACTGTAACTCTTCTTGATACTGTAACTCTTCTTGAAACTGTAACTCTTCTTGATACTGTAACTCTTCTTGATACTGTAACTCTTCTTGATACTGTAACTCTTCTTGATACTGTAACTCTTCTTGATTGTGTAACTCTTCTTGATTGTGTAACTCTTCTTGATTGTGTAACTCTTCTTGATACCGTAACTCTTCTTGATACTGTAACTCTTCTTGGTATTGTAACTCTTTTTGAGACTGTAACTCTTCTTGACACTGTAACTCTTCTTGATACTGTAACTCTTTTTGATACTGTAACTCTTTTCGATACTGTAACTCTTCTTGATATTGTAACTCTTTTTGAGACTGTAACTCTTCTTGATACTGTAACTCTTCTTGATACTGTAACTCTTCTTGATACTGTAACTCTTCTTGATACAGTAACTCTTCTTGATACTGTAACTCTTCTTGATACTATGACTCTTCTTGATATTGTAACTCTTCTTGATTCTGTAACTCTTCTTGATACTGTAACTCTTCTTGATACTGTAACTCTTCTTGATACTGTAACTCTTCTTGATTCTGTAACTCTTCTTGATACTGTAACTCTTCTTGATTCTGTAACTCTTCTTGATACTGTAACTCTTCTTGATACTGTAACTCTTCTTGATACTGTAACTCTTCTTGATACAGTAACTCTTCTTGATTCTGTAACTCTTCTGATACTGTAACTCTTCTTGATACTGTAACTCTTCTTGATACTGTAATTCTTCTTGATTCTGTAACTCTTCTTGATACTGTAACTCTTCTTGATTCTGTAACTCTTCTTGATACTGGAACTCTTCTTGATGCTGTAACTCTTCTTGAGAATGTAACTCTTCTTAAGACTGTAACTTCTTGATACTGCAACTCTTCTTGATACTGTAACTCTTCTTAATACTGTAACTCTTCTTGATACTGTAACTCTTCTTGATACTGTAACTCTTCTTGATACTATAACTCTTCTTGATACTGTAACTCTTCTTGATTCTGCAACTCTTCTTGATTCTGTAACTCTTCTTGATTGTATAACTCTTCTTGATACTGTAACTCTTCTTGATACTGTAACTCTTCTTGTTACTGTAACTCTTTTTGAGACTGTAACTCTTCTTGATACTGTAACTCTTCTTGATACTGTAACTCTTTTTGATACTGTAACTCTTCTTGATACTGTAACTCTTCTTGAAACTGTAACTCTTCTTGATACTGTAACTCTTCTTGATACTGTAACTCTTCTTGATACTGTAACTCTTCTTGATACTGTAACTCTTCTTGATTGTGTAACTCTTCTTGATTGTGTAACTCTTCTTGATTGTGTAACTCTTCTTGATACCGTAACTCTTCTTGATACTGTAACTCTTCTTGATACTGTAACTCTTTTTGAGACTGTAACTCTTCTTGACACTGTAACTCTTCTTGATACTGTAACTCTTTTTGATACTGTAACTCTTCTCGATACTGTAACTCTTCTTGATATTGTAACTCTTTTTGAGACTGTAACTCTTCTTGATACTGTAACTCTTCTTGATACTGTAACTCTTCTTGATACTGTAACTTATATTTATTTGGTGCTCTTTACGATGTTATTACTCATCTTAATGTTATCCATGTTCGACAATTTTTGTTACCGTGGCCCATTAAAACAACACGACACAATTATGTTGATTATTTTGACTAAGTGTCACATCTTGACACACCTTAACACACCTTTTTATCATAACACAACTTGACACACCCTTTATCATAACACATCTTGAGACACCTTTTTATCATGAAACATCTTGACTCATCTTAACACACCTTTTTATCTTGAAACATCTAGACACATCTTAACACATCTTATCACACCTTAACACACGTTTTATCATGGCATATCTTGACACACCTTGTCATCATAAACACATCTTGACACTTTGACAGCATAGCACACCTTGACACACCTTAGCACACCTTTTCATTTTGACACATCTTAACACATCTTAACACACCTTTTTATCATAACACATCTTGACACACCTTAACACACCTTGATCATCATAACACATCTTGGCACATCTTGACACACCTTGACATCATATCACATCTAGACGCACCTGAATACGATGACACAGTAAGGAAGGTGTTGGCAGCGAGAACAGTGTTCACCTGGCAACACTCCACAACTTGACACAAACACTAGTTGGGTTTTCTCTCGTGTAAACAAAAAATAATATCAGTGAACTGTTCACATCACTTCAACGTGGACACTTCCATTAATAACACATTTTATACACCCATTTGTTCATACATTATTTCATATATCCCAGGAATTCATTGCCTTAACATAACAAAATAAATAAATTAAGAGAATGATATGTTAATGTCAATAAATATTAATTGATAATGTGAATCCCTCAGATATATGTTACATTATACATATGTACACCGAAGCTAGCTTAGTCTGCTTGTTTCCCATTTATTTATTAGTAAATGATATGTTAATAGTTCTTGGTTGCATACACTACTGTATTATTAAAGTAAACAAAGAAAAAATTTACAGAGACACTCCCAGTGCCTGATGCCTCGAAGGTCACGTCTATGTTGGCTGTCTGTGGGCTGTGGTGAGTGACGTAGGCTGTTACAGTGGCGTTATGACTACTGCTATTGGTGATACAGCATTAACAGTACAAATAATAAAAGAATTACCGACTGTGTATTCAGAACTAGAAATATCAGTGATAAAACTAGGATTATGATAACGGGAGAGTTTGTGTTAAACGAGATAACTGGCGACGATGTACCAGAAATGATGGAAAAACTTTAAGAGATCTAAGTAAGAAATGTGAATATACGTGAGAGTAGGAAATATCATGATATTGAGGTAAACACGTGAGTAACAAGAGACAGCGTGGGAGTGTCTCTCCAGCAGGTGCCCCAGATGTGAGCTGAAGCAGCACACCTGGAAGGACATCTACTGATTCAGCAACTGAGAACAAAACTGTACAATTAACCTAACAAAATAGATTAAAGCATTAGCAAATTGAATAAAAATTCCAGTTTGTACATTCATTGTTCAACACGAATTAAGACCTAACGCAATTATTACATATTTGACACCATGCTAGCACCTTTGTGTGATTGGTTTTACTGTTCATTGGCGAGAAATTAAGTTCCTTTTTTATCCTTTGACAATAGGATTATACTTGAGCCGCCCATCATGGCACATAGAACTCTGCTGGACCTTAGTACAAATCCCTTTAGCAGTTACGTATTACACTAACATTTTCAACTGAGTAAAACGATGAGTATACAGTATACCTCTATATAAACACTTGTGTATAACACTCGAGTCAGTACATAGATTTTATCTGCTCTGCATCAGGAATATATTTTCACTTTGTTCTGTATAGTATCTCAAATATTTGGTACACGGAATTCAGTTTCTTTGACGCACATATTCATGCAAGGTTCTGTGTCACTGACACCTGCCTGCTCCCGCAGGTGGCACTGCTTCTCCTGCAGGCGTGGCACTACTCCCCCTACAGGCATGGCACTTTTCCTACTGTAGGCGTGGCAATACTCATTCTGCAGGCGTCGCAATATATATATATATATATATATATACATATATATATATATATATATATATATATATATATATATATATATATATATATATATATATATATATATATATATATATATATATATATATATATATACTGCTCACTAATATCGCCACGTGTCCTTAAAACCAGTAGAGATCTTTCGCTCCTTCCTGCGGCACCCCGGTCTCTAGACCTGCAGGAAAACATACATTGTAACTACAAAGTAAAAAAAAAATATATTAGTTTTTGGGAAAAACACAAAATAATTGTCCAAGGAAAGAGAACACAAACCTACAATTACTGTAATTTAACAATACTGTAAAGAAGTTTGTATATCATAGTCAAATTAGAAATTTTGTAGAGAGAAGACTGATGGTAGATAGACAGAATCCTATCAATTTTTATGATGACACGCAATTAAGACAATGATATAGGTTCAGCAAGGGAGATTTCCTTGATGTTTTCCGTGATATGGAGCATCCTCTTGACAGACCTGTTGGCTGTGGTTCACCTCCACCTCCCATTCATCACCTGATGATTGCTTTGAGATTCATCACAACGAATAGCTTCCGGGAAGGAAAGATTCTGGTTACTGAAAGAGTTATGGTAACGTGTTACTACACTTTCGTGTTTAGGGTCCATGAAGATCAAGTAGGTAAATGTAAAGAACGCTGACGCTTCTTTATTTTGAGTAATTTTCTTTAGGAAAACTAATTTGGTGTAATTTCAATATAATTGGATCAATGCTGAGTGCATCTTGATTTTAATGTATTAATAAAGGAAAGTGTTTTCTTAATCAGGGGAAATGTGGGGTTAAAAGAACAGAAAGAAACCTTACCGAACCTACTCAGGTTACCACGCCCTGCATTGATTCATCTTGCTTTGGTTATGAATATTGACACGTGTCCCGGATTATATCTACAATTTGTAGGTAATTTTTCTTCCTCTATGAATATCTTTGCTATCATATAACAACACAGCCACGTTGTAACACAGTACCGTGAAGCCTTATAATTTGTCGAGTCATAGTTGCCGCCATAATCTTATAACATTACTCTCGATGGTGATTGGCTGTTGTAATGGTGGAAATTAAACATGATTGGCTGGAATTTTAGTGCTCGAATCCTTGCTCGTAATTGAAGAAAATGAAACAGATTACCTGATCTGGGGTTCAAGCCGATGCTCTGAACATGGTTAATCCACTGCAGGAAATCTCGGATAGAGGAATCCCGATTCGCACGCCTGAGCCATGCTCAAATCCAAGGCACAAACTACCGTTCAAAATTCGGGCAGTAGAGGCCTCAGAATAAGACCCATCAACCAGCAGCTGCACACCCTGGCCAGCAGAATTTGATAAAATATAGAACGATCAGAACAAGAATTCCTACAAGGGCTCTCACCAGGCAACGACAACAACCATAGATGGTTCCCCAAAATTGCCAAATCTCAAAAAGCCAATAACCACCCCCGATCAATACGGCCAGGCAGCCAGGGTGTGGGAGTTATTTGTCGTAGCTACTCGTTCACATTAATAAGCGTTAGTTAGAATAAACGACAGTTCCACACACTCTAAGTGTTTTAATTGTTGCACCTTATACCCTCAATATTCTGACGTGAGTCTGCCTATGCGATACAATTACCAAATAATGGACAATCAAACAAAAATGATTTTATTGCATAAGTTCGTGACTATTTCTTGAAATATTGGATATTAACTTGTATTTGTATTTTCATCATAACTGCTTCAACAAAATAAGAAGACAACATTATTCTGCTGCGTAAATGGTCTGCAGTGATTCAACGAATCCAGGAAAAAAAGTCACAAGAAAAAAAGTCACAGAAAAAAGGCACGGAAAAAAACCTAACCTAACCTAACCTAACTTAATCTAACCTACGTGCAATGCCATCATATATATATTGTGTTGTCGATGTATAAAAGTCATGTGACTTTTTTCCTGTGATTTTATTTCCGTTCACCGATTCAACTATCAGCAACCCAAAGTAGGAGTTGGGTGGTGGAGGCAGGGAGGGTGGGGGAGTGGGGAGTCTAATGTGCACAATATAGAAGAAACATTATTACTTAAGACTTTTAAGCAAGAACCATATCGCCTTGCACAATAAATTGCACATTTAGTAATAATGACAAAATTAATAATACATTTTTTCCACATCTACTGTTTGGCACAACTGAATTATGTGATTGGCTGATGCCATACCGGGCTGCTGCCAACTGAACTAGTTTTGTTTACATAAAGTTTGTATTACAATAAATATGCGGTGCCCATTTCTTGAATGTTTTGAGTGCTAATTAATCCCTTCAGTATGATGTCTTCTTATATATATGTTATTCAGGTTACCGCTAAACGATTTTATTCAGTTGGGGAAGTTCCACTTCGTAGTCAAGGGATTAAACAAAATTTTCCTGCGTCTACAATCTATAGATTTAAACATATCCATAATCCATTTGCTCATAAATGCCCCCTTTTGCAAAGGAACACCTTACTTAGAACATGAATTCATTCCCCTCTCATCCTATTGTGACTTTAGTATTTTCATCTGGCTAGTGCTAGACAATTACACTCAGCTGAGAGACCCCGTCGGTATTGTTAAAGTTATATTGTGTATTGTAATCTTTCACAACTGATATACACGTCATCGGTCCCAGTATCCCGTCTCCCCCTCCCCCCTTACAGAAAAACACGTCCCCAGCAGACCTCTTCCTTCTCCTTCCATCTCACTAGCGAATGGTTCGAATTCACACTTCAGAGTTCGGGGTTCACATCACAAGGAGAGAGAGGATTAGCAACGTTGAGTGGTAAACGCGGGAGTGGAGCACACTATACTGTGCATCTTGACTGTGGTCGATTATGCTACTTGTTATCCTGAGGCTGTCCCATTACCAGGTATCGAGACAGGGCGTGTGGCGGAGGCGCTACTGGATATTTTCTGCCGGGTGGGAGTCCCGGAGGAGATAGTCTCGGACCGAGGATCCTAGTTCACATCCGGCATGATGAAATCGGCGACTATTGTCCATCAAACACCTGCTTACGACCCCTTACCATGCCATGGGAAATACTCTGGATGAGAAATTCAATGGGACCCTTAAATCCATGTTTAAACTTAAATGAATATGTTCTGAACAGCCTACCACCTCGAATCGATATTTTCTCGCAGACCTGTTCGCCCACAGAGAAGCTCAACAGGTGAGTTTAGGATTTTCCCCGTTCGTGCTACTGTACAGTCAGAGGGCCACTAACCATTTTGCGCCACCTGCAGATTGGCTCACGAGGAACTAAGAAAATCTCAAGGAGATAACAGATTCTACTATCGTAAAACTTCAGTCGATAGAAAATTTCATGTGGGGATATGGTATTGCTTAATTTGCCTACAGATTCGAACAAATTGCTCCTACAGTGGAAAGGTACTAAAAAGGTTGTTAGGAAGAGAGACCATATGGATTATGAAATCAGATGAATAGGAAAATTAATTTATTTCATGCCAATATGCCAATATGTTAGAGATACATTTCTAGGGTTGACAATACTTACAAGGCTTTTTTTTTTTAGGTTAAGGTGGGGAAAGGATGGAAGGTTTGCTGAGGCTCTTTGCACGGCCATACGTGAAGGATAGAGAGGTCACAACAGATAATCGTGGGGGGAAAGGTTGGAAAAGAAATTTAATGAGTTAAACAGAGGGGGACGACACCCCTTGTTTTACATATTACGGAATTTGTTGGTTAACTAAGCTAACCTAGGATTTAGGATGAGGTTGCACAATGGACTCACTAGATTGTGACTTGTTAAATGTGATTTTATATCATCTGAGTTTTAATCTAAGGTGGATCGTTGTGGCGGTCATACAGTAGAAGGGTTGCGGGTTGGGTTGTTGGAGTGCGGGTAGACTCTGGAGTCACCAGGTGTGGGATCGCCCTCCGTTGATGTCTTCCCCGCGTGAGTGGTCTGGGCTGTGAGGGTCTTCCAGGAGCTTTTCCCAAACCTTCTTCCCTAGGCAATGACGCCTGACGTTAAAGGTCTCCGTCTTTTTCCTAAAGTGGGTGGTCTCCACTGTCACCTGGTAGGGTGGCTCTTGGCCTCTGTCTAACCTCAAACACTTGCTTTGGAAGCTCTGTAGTTAGTGTAGTCTGGTCTTCCTGAGCTTCTGTTACCAGAGTGGAGGAAGGCTGTATTGTGGTGGAAGAATACGACGACGAGCAGGAACCGCGGCAGTCTCTACCTTCACTGGTCCAAAAGTAAACTCTCTAGATCGTCAGTGTTAGTGAAGAGCTTCACTCTGACCAACAACAACAGGTCAGATAGTTATTACAGAGGTTCAGTAAGATGTTGTCAGATAGTCTGGGAACTTATTGGAAGTACAATGTATTGTCTAATGGTAGACCCTGCTGACATATGGCATCGCAAAAATTGTGGCCAAGTTCCAGGTTGCTGATCTGACTTTCTGCCTCATTTACACACAATTGCAGGGCCTCAATTGTTTCTCTTACTATTGACAACACAACATACATATATTGTTTATTATTATTATTATTATTATTATTATTATTATTTTTTTTTTTTATTATTATTATTATTATTATTATTATTATTATTATTATTATTATTATTACATTTTCGCCCCCCAGGCTCCGATGTGGGTCAGGTCTCCGTACCCGGGTGGGCTAATCCCCCTAAAAAAATGTACAACAGGATGTTATCAGGATAAGGCCTTATAAAATGCCTATGCTATCAGAGACGAAGTGAACAAGGAGATAGTAGACGTGCGGAAAGCGGGCACCATCGAACCTTCAAATGGTGGATGTAAAAAAAAATGGCAATTTACATAGAATCTGTCTTAATTTCAGAACACTTAATGCCATTACAGTTTGTGATAGTAAACCATATCCTTGCTAGCCCCAATTATTTTTCTAAGGTAGACTTGTGTGAATGATATTGGCAAGTACTTCTAAGTGATGATACATTAGTAGGGAGTACATAGCCTTCCAGACAGATTTAGGTTTATTTCATTTTAGGTGTTTATATTTGGCCTAGTCAACGCTCCAGCTACCTTTAATAAGTTTATTCGCATGGTGTTCCAGGGGATAAAGAGAGTGCAACATTTTTTAGATGATCTGATAGTGTACACTCACACCTGGCGAGAACACTTAGATGCGTTACAGGACGTGCTAGAGCTTAAAGCCTTATAAATATTTTGTGGGAATGAATAAATTGGAGTATCTTGAACATAAAACCAGTAGAGATAATATGTGGCCCATGAGGAACAAAGTTGAGAAAATTAGTTATTCAGTTCGTCCTAATATGAAAACAGAACTTCAATCCGTCTTAGGTCGTATCCAGATAATACCAGAAATGTATACCCCATTATGCTACTGTTGCAGCACCATTGACGGAACTGACCAGAAAGAAGAAAGCTAACGTGTTGGAGCTGAGGAGAAGCCTTTCATATGTCGGAAGGCCTATTCTTCATCCGACCGTGCATTGATGCTGCCAGACCTTTCTAAGCCCTTCTACCTAATGATCGACGCTTCTAAGACGGGACTTTTGAGCGGTGCTTTTACCCGGGGAAAGAAGATACGCTGTTATCGAATTGGAATGCCTTGCAATTGTATGAGGATACAGAAGTTTTTAGGATATTTGTACTGAAGATCTATTGTTTTTGAAACTGACCACAAACTATTAGTTTATTTATAACATCTGTGTGCTTACTGTTAATTTTATTAAAGGTTCAACGTTGGTGCAGATTATTTAGTGTATGTGTAAAGAAAGTTTACAATTTTCTTTTCTAGGAAGGGGGGTGAAGGTGTGACATAGCTGGAACTGTCCAACTAGGCATCGGGTAGTTATATTAAATACTTGTGCTGATTGCTCACTTTCTTTCTCATGGTCGACGTGGGTAAGTGGAGGCAGATGGTAAGCGGCCGTCTTTCTGAGCTGGTCGGAGGTACAGTACACTCTCCCCCAAAAGTATCGGCCCTCCTGGGCCTGATGCATTTGGAAATGATCACAATAACACGTGTACAACAGTCTCGGTTCGGTTGGTATTTCTGATTGTGAGTTGCACCTTTCGTGCTTTCTTCTTGCACCAGTTAATCACCATGGTATCTGCATAATGTAATGAAATAGGATGAATTGTGATACCATATGCAAAACCAATAACTTCATGACTAACCCCGCTGATCTATGCACCTTAGATACTATTTCAGCTCTTGGGGATGGGTTGCCAAATAGGAATATAAAGTACTATATTTTCATGAACCGAGGTTACAGTGGACTCGCTTCGAACGAAATATGAAACACTATGATCCGATATTACAGTCATTTGCAAACATTGTGATTACAGTTGTATAATTACAATGACATTATGATCTGCTGCATTTCGATATTATTTCTACCTCAATTGATGAGGTAACAATTCTGAAAATAACTTATCATATCATGATTCGTGCTGGCAATGGAACATTATCTGATTCACACTACGAGACGATGTCTGTCGGTGCAAGCTGTGTTTTCCAATGAGTCTCAGGTACAATATAGTGTTGGTCATGGATTTCCAGCAGACAACACCCACTATTTGACTGCCGGTGACATATTTTCGCTACATTAATATCATTATTCTACTAAAGAAGGAGCAAGGTGATTCACCATAATTACAAATTTACAACAAATGCCAGAAAAAAATAACTGGCAACCTCATAGATACTAGGAAGGAAGGCCTACCAACATAATGCAGGAATCACAATTAGTGATCGGAAATATTCGTCCATTGTGACACACTGTATCGATGAGAAAAGGGCCGATACTTTTTGGGGAGAATGTACAAACGTCATCACTTTCCACTCGTGTTGGTTGATACCGGCTTGGGTGTGTTTGGGCTATGGATAAGGGTGGTCTGAGCCCAGAAGAGGAACTAAGTTCCAGAAACTGAGTGTCAGAGTCTCCAGCTACGACGCAAAATCCAGGGAGTGGAAAATGATCCAGCTGTGTGTGTGTGTGTGTGTGTCCTGACCAGACAGAAGACAGTGCTCTCAATGGGGAAGATTTTTCTTCTTTCATTAATTTTTCATTGTTATTGTAAGATGACTCGTAATTTTTATTTTCTCATTGTTAATGTAAGGTTGTGGGTATGGGTTATATTTATTTTATTTCGAGTTGTTTTGATGAAGATCCTTACCTCTTGATTATATGATTACTAGAGAACCTGTACCCCTTATTGATGGGCGTGCATTAATTCAAAGCATGGAAAACCGATTGACTTTGTTATTTGCTAATTTTGGAGAAAATTTTACTGAGGTAATTTTTTTACACTTCAGTCAAGGTGCTACCAAATCAGGTGTCATTTTTGACTGATATACCGGCTCCAATTCCATTAAAACTCACACAAAAATGAAGTGAGGTAAAAAGGCCGAGAGACCAATCGGCAAGGTCATTTGTCATGGCAAAGTTTCACTACTGTACCACAGTTATGGGCACAGTTAGTATCTTTTTTCTAGGTTAGAGCAGATCTTGCTACATTCAGATTCAATGACCTTATGAAACGATGCCAGGAAGTACCCAATGACTGTAAACTGATCGTAGATGGAGGCTCCGTCTCTCCCGGGAAAGCTGCATCTACAACCAGAAGTACTGTACCTTGGCCAATCTAACCTGTGATCATGAAGTAGCGGCTCGAGGCTACAAGGGAGGATGTAAGCGCATAATATAGAATTATAAATATTCAGAGGTCTTTCTCCTCCTCCTCCTCCACTTCTTTCGAGGGACTATTGTGTGGATGAAATAATTCAAGCGTTATCAAACACTGAAGAAGATAACCTATTGGGTTTCCATGCAGTGACTGAATCAAGTACAGCATCTTCTTTTCCTGGGTTTGGCAAGAAAGGAATTCAACAAACATCCGCACCTTATGAATGGTGTTGAGCGTAATGCCCAGCGGAGGATATGGGAGAGTTTGTCCGCCGCCTTTACTCTGCTCCTAACTGCTTTCCTGGTCTTAACAAAGCAAGGCTCAACTAATTCCGGAAGGGGTAAAAGGAGATGGGAAATCTTCCACTCACGAATGATTCTCTTAAGTTACATTACACAAGAGCAGATTACAAGGCAAAGTTGTGTTTGGGAGTTGACAACTGCAACAATTGTGAAAATGCTACACCGCCATCATCAACATCAGGATGAAAGGAAACTAGAGATGGACGCCAAGTACACTTCCTGCCATACCAGCTGTTTGTGTCATGATTGTAGCTTGTGGCAGCAACAAGAAATGCAATACTGCCAACTGGAAATGTTTCAAATCTTAACAGATGCATGTACAAAGTGTGATGCTCAAGGATGCTGCAGTTCTGCTGAAACGCAACTTGGAACATATCAAGTGATAACATTTGTAAATGTAGCCTGTTATGTTACACATTCATCTGTTGCGCTTGGTGATTAATACATGGTCAGAGTGCACCTTTATTACCATATTCTTACTCCTTGACCCTCAAAATATAGAAATTAACAGACAGATCAACTAAATCGCGCACCTGGTTGCAAATCAATGCCTGCAGTAGATTCACAATTTGATGATGTCATTTATAACATTTGATGTGATCTGTCTGAGTGACAGCCATCCAGGTGTTAATCCACTGACTACAACCTTGATATCCAGCAAGTTGGTTTGTATGGAACACACAGATGCCATCCAACCAAAATTTCAGCTTCCTTCTGGGGGTTGGCTGGCTGACTAGTGGGGGGAGGGGATGAGCGAGCGAGGCGTAGATTGGTTCCTGAGATGGATTTGTTGTTGATGAGTGATGGTGAGTTGTGTGTAGTGACTAATATTAACCAAATGCAGGGTCTTATTGTTGGAAGATGAACATCATAGGATAACACACATTAACAGTAAGACTGATTGAATAATAGCAGAATAAAGGAGGAGTTTGTGTTGATATATAAGTGTCAGGTAGTGGGAAAGGAACACCACAGCAGAACACATAATAGAGAGTGAAAGAGAGTGAAGGGAAAGTTTGTGTTGCTCTTGTTTTTGGCCGTTTTGCAACACAGGACAGATGGTTTGTAATATTCTGAGTAACGTGAGTTTGCCTATAATGACCTAAGGGGACTCTAATCTTACCTGTGATGACCTGACAGGACCTAAGCTTACTTGTGATGACGTGAGAGGATTTAAGCTTACCTGTGATGATCTGACAGGGACTAAGCTTACCTGTGATGACCTAAGATTACCTAAGCTTACCTGACATGAAAAAAATGTTTACTTGTGATGCCTGGCAATACGTAAGTTTAACTGCGATGATCTGAGAGGATCTGCATCTTATGATGACTTAAATTTACAGGTGATGACTTGTGATGGTCTAAATTTGCCAGTAATAAACTATGATGTCTAAAATATATATACCTGACTTAAATATATACGCATTTTCTTAAGATGTTTTAAAATGACCTGTGACTGATGACCTGGGTGGACACTGACCTGGTACGTTCGGATAGTGAGGCGCTGAATAGTTGGTGTCAAGGCCGTGGGAAAAGTCTGGACTGGTGAAAGCATCGTGGTACCTCGCCCCCCAGCTCTCAGGCTTGGCCATACCCATCTGTCGACACAAGTGAGATTTTAGACACACTACTGTGGTTAATACTTCTTTGTCGACAGGCCTCCTTACATATCTGTCGACATAACAGATTTTTTTTAGAATCATTTGTCGATGCAAGTGAGAATAACACTTATTTGTCGACACAGTTGGGATAAGACAGTGGTGGAGTTGGGTGTTTAATTTAGTGTGAGGTTGTGAGTTTAAATCTGATTGGGGTTGTGGGCTTAAAGCAGTGTGTAGGTAGCAGGTAGCGGAGCCATTTTCATAGGTCAAGAAGTGAAGACAATTAAAAAAGCTGAAATTCAATAGTTTATTCAATAGATGCACAATTAGCTCGTCGTGTGGAAAACGAGGTAATTGAATAGTGAGTCAGTCCAGAAGGTTGAATTATTGAGACAGAAAGTGCAAGTTAAGTTGTTCACCGTCACACCATAGTCAGTCAAGAGATAAAAACATTCAGCTTACTGGTTACCGGTTACACAAGCAAGGTGTCAATAGTGAGTGAGTCAGGTAAATAAACCATAGTATACTCCCTTAAACTATCCAACCAGGAGCGAACTCATAGCAATGGTTTTAAATTACACAAATTTAGATTTAGACGCGAGATAGGTAAACACTGGTTTGGAAATAGACTAGTGGATGAGTGAAACTTACCGAATATCTTCATTAACTCGAATGCGCTGGGTAGTTTCAAATATACTCGTATTGTAGGTTGGACGAATATATGATCGATAGGGTTGGGTGTAAACAGGGCTGCCTAGGATAGGCCAATAGGCCCCGCTGCAGTTTCCTCCATTCTTAAGTTCTTATGTTTTTATGTTCGTATGTTCACATCAGAGGAACGACTCAGTGTTCAGTAATGTGATTAGTGAGTCAGATAACCAGGAAACTATTTGGACTCTTCATGTAGAGGTAGTCAAGTGGTGTGATCTGACTAGTGTGACGCCAAGATAACAAATTAGTCAGGGATAGGGAGTCAGATTACCGAGTCCCAAACACAAACTGTTTGGTCATCTAGTAGGAAGTCAAGTCAACAGATTAAGAGTCAGGTCAGCAGGTATCCACTGGGGTGACTTGGGTCACCAAGTCAGCACACGGAGGTAAAGCAGTAGTGGACTCACTTGAGAGCCGACGGCTGTGACACCCGGGATCCTGGCCAGGTGAGGCTGGAGGGAGAGGGACGAGTACTGGTGGTAGGGACGTGAGGACGAGGGCACTGACGACATGGCCGCCTGGTACACGTCGTGCGCCATACTCCGGTGACCGTAAGCCTGTTGAGGGTCATGGTTGTCAGTTGTGGCATATTGAGGGTTATACTACTAATACTAATACTACTAATAATAAATCAAATCAGTGAATCCTTGAGCAAATGAAACGGTTACAATTGTAATAGTTCCGGGCCAGGGTTCGGTTGTCAAAGGTTTATAAGTTAATTTTGTCGCATACATGTCATCATTAGGTGACCTGCGAGTTACACCTTGCCATGGCCAGGGGTTTGTCCTGTTTAAGCAGCAGGCTAGACTGGTCTGATAGACCTGTGTAAATTTAGTGGGTCAAAATCCCGAGACTAGTTCGCACTTGTTTCGAACCCCGATGTATCCATAAATACAGTATTTGGTCTCTGTGCTTCGAATCCTCACAGAATATTGCCTCACCCACCCATCTTGATTTCTTCCAAGCACCTCTCTGTCGCTCTCTTTGTGGAGCAACTATAATCTATTTACTTAAGATAGACATCTGGGACGAACAAAAGGACGTTCGTGATTGGTGGACACAACCGGTAAGGGAAGGCGTGAGTTGGGAGTATGGAGAGGTGAGAGTTTAATCCGGTTACATACCATTCGTCGACCGGTTAGCACTAGTGAAATACTGTTTCGGGCACAGAGCACGACTATCTTATTCCATCCTTGTCCTCTCGTTATCTCTTGATTCCTTGGGGTTTCTATCACTTACAGTGATTTGCTAATATACATTAGACTAATAGTGTATTCAGTATTTAATAACAAATAATGCAGGTACAAATTGTTACAGTTCATTTACAAACCCTAATTTACAAGGCTAGTGTACGTGAGTGTTTCTTCGCCAGTGGTCCGGTTCCAGACGAAACCTTCTAATTAACTGAATCATTGATCGTGAACACCCCTGTGACCGTCTGGACACCGAGCATCGCTTACCTTTTTATAACACTGTTTAATCTATTTAAATTTTTCTAGGCCACCAATATATTTTAAAGCCCTTTTTCACCTCTTTGCCTTCAGAAATTATTCCAGATTGAAACTAGTTGCTCATATAACTTTCGATATTCGTATATACAGAATATTAAGGAAAATCACGAGGAGCTGTACATTTTCTGAGTTCCCAGTCTTTTATCACCCAATCAACAGCTTTCTTCACTACGTCTCTAGGCTCCAGATGTATGTTTAACAGTATTTGGGCTTGTCATACAGTCTTCTTTTTCAAATGTAACGTAATATAGAGTGAGTAACCTATGTTAACTTCGTGGGGGAATTCTGTCCTTTGTATGATATTGCTCATTCGTAAGGAGTCATCAGTTGAAACTGCAGTTGTTCCAGGCGTCTTCTTCTAAAGATGATGACCATGTTTTTGCTGGCACAGAGAACGAATCTGCCTTGACTTATGACATTAACAAGGAACGCTTCACACCATGTCCCGTTCAGGTGCTCCGAAAACTCCGTCCCTTCAAGACATATTAAAGTACTGTACTTATATGACACTTATTCTCATACTCAGTTACACCTTGTGATTCTCGAGGATTTTGGTCAGTTGATGAATTATGTTTTGGCCAGGACATTTTTCCCTGAGTTCTGATTCGTGGGCTCTCACAAACCACTTTATACCTTGACTTTAGTGAACAATTAAGTAGTGTCGTATTATTCTTTCACCTAGTCTTGACTCTACTGATTCTGCTGCTCATTCGTTTATCATCCACGATCACCTACGGCATAACTTTATTTGTACACAACATAATTTTATTTTTACACAACATAAATTTTATATTTACACAACATAATCATATATTTACACAACATGTTTTATTATACACTCCAGTGGACCTCCAAGTCCCGATTGAGTATTGAAGTTATTGGAATTATTCAGTCGGTTACACAAACTCCATAGTGAAGTATCAGCGCCACCATGTTACCTATGAAAATCATCGTTCACCATCAAGTGGCTGGCTCGTGGATAGAGCAATGTTTAATCTACCTGTTGCTGTCCCAGGAAGTCTGTCTCTCACTCCTGTATTTCTCAACAATGAAGATCAGCATTAATTTATGAGCTATTGAAGACCTGCGTTAGCATATATAATAGTGAAGACCAGCATTATTAGAAACAATATTAGGCTGAAAATGAACATTAACATCGGTAACAGCAATATATTTAGAACATTCCTCAGCGATGTAAATATCAATATTGAATATATAACTCGCAATAACATATCTTGGCTGTCTTAATAAGATATACAAGTGTCTGTCTTATTATGGGTTTGACTTTCAAAACATTGTTATAGTAAAGAGAGGAAACAGTATTGACTTCCTTACTCTTGTAGTTAGATCACCCGAAGATAAACCCCAGGTTATATCACCTGATGATTAATCACCTTAACGCTAACCTAATTGAATTTAGGTAGCGTTAGGGTGCTTTCTTATCAGGTGAAATAAGTTAGGGCTAATCCTCAGGCGATCTCTATAGAAAGTAACATCAGTATATTGTAGGGAATATTGGTGTTAGTGTCAAGTTCTCTTGTGAAATTACAGGGTTTAAGCACCGGCAGGTAAACATGTACACAACCTACCTGCGAGGACAAGGAATAAGCAGCCCAGGGGTCAGGCGCGGGGGGCTGGAGGGGGTGGAGTCCTGCGTGGTAGGGGTCATACAGCTCAGCCGGCGATGCCCCTAAGTGACCCGCCAGACTGGGAGGCCGAGACGATGACGACGAGGAGGACGATGACGGTACCTGGTAGTTACTGTTCCAGAATGACGGAGGGAAGTTTCTGGACGACATGGGAGACGACGCTGTAACGAGAAACACGAGACCTTGATGATTCTGGTTCACATTCAGTGAGACTGACATGACAATTGTGATTCAATTATATACTTTTAACCTTCTATATGAATAAGACACTTTTGTATAGTAAAGTATATTGTATTCTGTGTAATGCGTATTGTCATTTTTTCTTATTATTATATCTTTATCTACACAACATCAACAACAATAATAATAACAGTGAGAATATCAGTGCGTGGTGAAGCATTTTTTGATGTTACCATATTGTCCAGGGTCAACATAGGAGAGAATGTCGGACATGGCCAATGGTACTACAAACCCTTCAAGGACCTTGCTGAAAGTTGGAGTAAGGCAAAAGGGTCTAAGGTCGTCTATAGACTTTTTAGTGTTGGGTTTAGGTTTCTTAGGTACTACCCTCTATTATGTTACCCACTTTCAGATTCTTGAGGCCCACCTGTCCACCACCGCGGACATCGATGAAGAGATTCAACATCGGATCAGATGTGCATCTCAAGCCTTTGGCAGACTCCGTACCCGTGACTTCAGCTGTAGGGAGCTGAAATTATCTACAAAGTTGAACGTACAGGTATATCGAGCAGTGGTCCTCCCCACCCTGCTATATGGCCGTGAGACATGGGTTACATGCAGGAGGCACCTCAAAGCACATGAAAACTTTCACCAGCGAAGTCTACGTTCCATCCTCCGAGTTCGCTGAGAAGACAAAAGAACAAATGCCAGTATTTTCGCTGACTCCAACTGTAGAAACATCGAGGCTACCTTTATCCATGAACGACTACGTTTGACTGGCCATGTTATCCGCATAGACGACAAAGCAGCTACTTTACAGTCACCTAACGAATGGTAAACGAACACAGCCGGACAACGAAAAGGGTATAAGGATAGTCTTAAGACAAACCTGAAAAAATGCCAAATCACCTGGGAGACAATCACGCCACACCCTAACGCTTAGAGGAGCACCACACAAGGAGTCAATACTTTCGAGTTAGCCCGACTGCATACCGAGGTGGACAAGCGCCAGAGCCGGAAAGGCGCTGCCGCCGCCCCTCCCGCACTAGAAGTAGCCCTCCACACGTGCAACATCTGTGGACAGCCCTGCCGATCCCATATCGACCTCTCGAGTCACCTCAGAACTCACCAACGAAGGTGACATATTTAAAACTCATATCATTGTATCATAGCTCGATGATCGTTATATTCGATTCCAAGTGACAGCAAATTAGTAGTACGAGTTGTGTGGTGTGGTGTGATTTAGTTTATGGTGTCATGTGTGTGGTGTGGTGTGTGATGTGGTGTAGTGTGGTATAGTGTGTGGTTGATGCGATAAAACGTTGTGGGGTGTGGTTTTTTTTTTTTTTTTTGCCGCGGACAACAGCTAAAAGGATTACAGATAGAGACCACAACGGTGTTTATCAGACCCCAGTGATCAGGATATTATTCAATGTTACAAACAATTTTCTTAGGTACTAGTGATATGAAAAGCCAATACTAAACACTTATTTGGTATTTCTCTTAATCTTGATAAACAATTATATTTTGCTGTAGGGGGATTAAAAATTTCCTTTTACACGTTTGTTTCATTTTCATGTGTAGAAAAACTACTGGCTGTGATTTTTTTTTCCATATATCAATCATATCTTACAAAGTTATGAGAAATATTCACTTTCTAATTATATGGGCATGCAAGATTATTCTCTCCCCCTCCTACTCCACATATCAAGAGGCGCTCTACACACTGACCCTCTCGGCTTCCTCCGACCATCACCACGACCTCATTTGGAAATTTGACGAGAAGCTTCTGCACCATCCTCAACACAGGCCCCTGCTTCAACCCGAGATCCCTCGTCCGCGAATTGCTGTTCGACACCACAACCGCAACCAGCCCATTACGAGCACTGATCGCTGTAAGAACAGCCCAGTCCCAACCATTGTAAAAATTATTCACAACTCGTAATGAACCAGTGTGTGTTCACTCCCAGTCAATCTTACCTTTTTGCACTGTCTCTATGTTGAGATGCCCTGTAGTATAACATTCTCCGCGCCTAGTTATTATATATCATATTTGTATCACTTATGTTACTTGTATATTATTTGTCAAACAAGTAACCCATTCCCCAATTATATAACGGTATATTTTCAGTCTTATGGCTGCCATTTTCTTTCAATAAACCGTTAATCATCATTATTATTATTACTATTATTATTATTATTATTATTATTATTATTATTATTATTATTATTATTATTATTATTATTATTATTATTATTGTTATTATTATTATTACACACACACACAAACACACACACACAAACACACACACACACACACTAGGGAGTGGAATTTTCAACTGTGTATCTGCGTGGAGCAACAACCCGTGTTGACAGCTTATGGGGTCAAACCCTGGACCAGCCAACACTGCAACAATCACCACCAACTTCCTCCAACAATGTGTCCGCTAAGTAAACTTGGCCCTGAGATTATCCAGATTACGCCTTCCTCACGCTGTCCCGCACGGATAATTCCATAATCCCTGTGATAATCCGGGAGATAATCGTCCCGAAATTTATGCAGAAACAGTAAATTAAGACGTGAGTAGTGGTTGTTAGCAGGTGTTAAGTCGTCCAAGGATTAAGGAGACAGACACCAGGAACGCTTCCTAGTTGACGCCACACACACACACACACACACACACACACACACACACACACTAATATTGTCGACCTCGCTGGCCTGCGTATTATCATCACTTCTTTCTATAGTTTCATCTCTTTCGATTTTGATTGTATTTCTCTCTCTCTCTCTCTCTCTCTCTCTCTCTCTCTCTCTCTCTCTCTCTCTCTCTCTCTCTCTCTCTCTAATCCTTCTACTTCTACTACTTTAGTTATTTTATTTGATCGTCTTTCTACTTTTCAATACCATTCTATCTTTAACTTTCTCCCTTTATCTCTGTCTATCCCTGTTTCTCCCAGCCTGATAACGTTTAGAGTGAAGAGCTGAGGTCGCCAACCCTCAGATATGATGACGGTACTTTGATTGCTTGAGCATTAATTTCCTCTCTAACTTGTACATCTTCTTTATTTCTATATAACCCCCCCCCTCTCTCTCTCTCTCTCTCTCTCTCATCCTGGTTTTCACACTAAGCTTACCTGATCCATAAGAGTCTAATATTTAGGTAAGTCTACAGTTTGTTACACTAATACACATCTACTACAACATAAGCAACACCTACTACTACTACTTTTTTTTTAAACGTGGCCTCCAGCCTCCCCCAATAACCACACCTTCGCCGCCATTTTATTACCTTAAAAGTAACTATCCTAATACAAAAGTAGCTACCCTAGCTGTGTTGCCTCAAAGTCGTTATCTGCCACTGTTGTCGGCTTTGCGGCCGATGCTCTCGTTCCCCTGAGGCAAAGCAATGCCGACCTAAGCAGAGAGGACAGTCGTCATCTCAACCAGGCTGTAACATAACTTCTGGGATGCTGCTTCCGTTCAGATAACACCTCCGCGAGTCTGGCGTAGAAGCATCTTGCACTTGGTCCCATCCCGCCAGAGGTTGTGAACACTAGAGAAGTGAAGCTGCCTTGATCATCGTTCAGAATTCTCTCCCCGTATGCCCTAATCTTGTCGTTCTCGTTCGTCCTGTGTGCAGCATCTAGAGCTAGGTTGCGATGACATGCGGCCATGGGATCAAAAATCCTTTTGTCAAAAGAGGGTCGCTGTTGCCGCGTCCAGAATCCTCGACCACTGACGTCCACACGGGCTTCGTTGGATGTGTTTGAAGTCCTCTAACGGAAGTTTTCACCGGCCAATGGAAGGAGGGGCGGTTCCACCATGACGTCGTGGAAGATTTCCCTCAGTAGATTTGCTGTTAGATCCCTTACTTCTTCATGCCTCATGCATACGAAGCCCCCTTTCTTGCACACCATGGCGTGGTCAATGTCATAAGATGAGCCGCACACGCATTGGGAGGGCAAACCTTCTACTGGCCTACCTTACCTTAGAGAAATGGCATCTGTGAATTCTTGTTTATTAAGGATGAAACCTTTTGCCCTTATCGGTAACGTATGTTAACCAGTTTGAGGCGCCCACCTCCTGCGCTATAGCTACTTTTCTTTTCACGTTCTCTGGCACTCGTTGCAACAGTTTTTGCAGTTTATAACTTTGGGTGTGCTGCCACTCTGCTACTACTACCGGCACTACTAACAATAGCAGCAACAACAATAATAATAGCAACACTAGCAATGATAATAATGGTGAAAATAACAATAATAACAACTATAATAATAATAAAAATAATAATAATAATAATAATAATAATAATAATAATAATAATAATAATAATAATAATAATAATAATAATAATAATAATATTAATAATAATAATAATAATAACAATAATAATAATAGAAATAATAATAATAATAATAATAATAATAATAATAATAATAATAATAATAATAATAATAATTATAATAATAATAATAATAATAATAATAATAATATTAATAATAATAATAATAATAATAATAATAATAATATTAATAATAATAATAATAATAATAATAATAATAATAATAATAATAATAATAATAATAATAATAATAATAATAATAATAATAATAATAATAATAATAATAATAATAATAACAATAATAAAAATAAAGATAAAAATAGAAGAAGAAGAAGAAGAAGAAGAAGAAGAAGAAGAAGAAGAAGAAGAAAAAGAAGATCTTTCCTGTTAAGGTATTGCCACACACTAAAGTGTCGTATCTTCCTTTACTGCTGATAGATTTCTCTAACTTCATTCTATTGCAGTAAATAGACATTGAATTAAACAGGGTGATCAGAAAGTCCCTGTGCCTATGTGACAATTAGAAATATATATATATATATATATATATATATATATATATATATATATATATATATATATATATATATATATATATATATATATGCAAGTAAATCACTGTAGGTGGTATATGCTGACAGAAGTATCGTTCACACAGTACCCCTGTACTCACCCCTGAATGTGAATTACACGAAAGCGCTTTGGGAACTTGTGTTTTCTTTCCATATATATATATATATATATATATATATATATATATATATATATATATATATATATATATATATATATATATATATATATATATATATATATATATATATATATATATGTTCTTTGTCGCAAGTACATTTACTGTAAGTACATCAAGGTAAATAACTATATTTAGAGCAAGTGTAAAGGGGCTGTGTGGTGCTTAGGTGTTTCAGCATGTAACTCTCTCAGGCAAATTACATGCTGT